AGTAGCTGGGACTACAGGTGTGTGCCACCATGCCCAGCTAACTTTTCCTATTTTTAGTAGAGATGCGATCTTGTTCTTGCTCAGGCTGGTCTCAAACTCCTGGGCTCAAGCGGTCCTCCCACCTCAGCCTCCCAGAGTGCTAGGATTACAGGCGTGAGCCACCACACCCGGCCACATCTAAGATTTAGAAGTGTCGGCCAGGCACGGTGGCTCACGCCTATAATCTTAGCTCTCTGGGAGGCTTAGGCGGGGGAGGATAGCTTGAGTTCAGGAGTTCAACACCAGCCTAAGCAGCAGTGAGCCCCCATCTCTACTACAAAGAAAAAGAAGAAGTGTCATGCTTCACAGGAAAGAATTCTTTGACTACAAATGGACAGCAGGTTATGCCTGTTGTAAAGTGATCCGTTATAAGGAGATTCTTACTATAGAATGGGTTGATGCTGGTAGGTGCCAGAAAACCAGCATTTTGCCAGGAGTTTTCTTATCTGTCACTGCAAGCAGGGATCATTTTGTCATCATAGTTTGGATTTACAAGCTATTTACAGCTTCAAAGAAATTAAAATTGCTGAGATTTTTGTTCACAAATACATATCACTTAAACATGTGTTTAATAGTGTGGGCAACTCAAGATCAGTGAGATGTCACTGTCTCAAATCCTTTGAGAAATGAGGGTAGAACATGTAAAATCAATATGCAAAGAAGAATGATACACAGGCTCTATCTTCCAGTGAAGAGGTGACAAAGTGTGTATGTGTGTATGGTACAAGGCCTGAACTTCACAGAGATTTCCAGACTTCGTGTTGTGATACTTCTGTGTTGACTTTTATTCTCTCCCCTTCCCTTGTTTTTAAGTAGAAAGTTTCTAAAAAGCCTCATCCGGAAACAGCCTCAAGAATTGCTCCTGGTCATCGGGACCGGTGTCAGCGCAGCAGTGGCCCCAGGAATCCCCGCCCTTTGCTCGTGGAGAAGCTGCATCGAGGCTGTCATTGAGGCCGCAGAGCAGCTGGAGGTGCTTCACCCTGGGGACATCGCTGAGTTTCGGAGGAACGTGACGAAGGACCGGGACCTGCTGGTTGTTGCCCATGATCTGATCCGGAAGATGTCCCCTGTAAGTATCAGACAAATACTTCTGGTTTCACGGGGACAGTGTCTGGTTCTGGACTAGGTTGGGTGACTGCGAACCTGATGTTAAACTTCTGTGAGCTGTTGCTGTGTTCAGTTCTCAGCACGGCTGGGCCGATGGGCCAAAAACCTTCCAGTCCATCAGGATATCATCTTTTTAGACAGTGATGCTGGCTACAGTGCGGCCTCCCGGAGTAGCCCATATTAAACGGACCCTGACTATGCGAGATTGTCTCAGGGATACTGTCGCGCTGCACTGGGTGTGCACTTTGTGATTTTGCAGTCATTAGGTAAAGAGGCATCTAAAGGGTATTTTTTTTTTTTTTTTTTTACAAAAGCGATTTTTTTTTTTTTTACAGCATATTATAGGGGTACAAATGTTTAGGTTACGTATATTGCCCTTGCCCCACCCGAGTCAAAGCTTCCAGTGTGTCCATCCCCCAGACGGTGCGCACGGCACCCATTAGGTGTGAATATACCCATCCCCTCTGCCCCCCTCCCATCTGCCCCACACCCGATGACTGTTACTACTGTATGCGCACGTAAGTGTTGGTCAGTTAATACCACTTCGATGGTGAGGCCATGTGGTGCTTGTTTCTCCGTTCTTGGGATACTTAGTAGAATGGGCTCAGCTCCATCCATGATAATACCTGAAGTATGTTTTGATTTAAGCAGGCCAGCCACATCTCTTCAGATGACAGGTGGTTCCTAGAAGACATTTCAAGATGAGGAAAGGTGACAGCTTCTTTGTCTGCAGGCAGAAACGATCTGGTAGAGAGGAAAAGCAACGGGCGGTGCAGGAGGTGGCTCCTGAATGACGCCCTTGCGCCAGTGGGGTCTGGTGCAGGGGTGAGGCCCACGGCCAGGCTGTCGTCGCCCCAGGTCAGCTATGGTGTCTAGGCCCGGATTCTGGGAAGTGAGACAGTGTGGGAGATGCTTGTGGCGGGTTTCTTTTCATCACTCCTGTGTTATTGGAGAAGCATAGTCATCATCCGAGAGGCAGGACAGGGAGCAGATGTGGGAGGTTCGGACTTCCAGGAGAAAGCAGGGAAAAGTAACTAGTCACTGGGGAGGATAGGAAAGTTTAGGCTGTGTAAAAAAAGACCCAAAACTATGTGGCTTCGATGTGGTCACAGTTATAGTTCTCATGTAGCAGCCCGGGCAGGCCCAAGGAGAACACGGTGCTGGGCAGTGCTAGAGACCCGCCCCTCGTTGGCTGACCGGCCATCCTCAACAGGCAGCTTCCAGCGCACACTCTAAGTCAGGTGCGTTGAGTGACGTGGCGCTCCAGCTGGCAGGAGGAGAGGGACGGGAGGGCTCGTGCCTGTGAGGGCTGCCGGGGAAGTCATATGGACGTTTCTGTTTTCATCTCATTGGCCAGAGTTTTACACAAGGCTGCACCTAGCTTCGCCAGTCTGAGAAGTGTTTTTAGTTAGGTGACTATGCCAAACGTAGATGTCCTATTAGTAAGGGACAACCCTCATCATAGGGCAATGGTTGGCACATTATGTATGGCCCAGCCCAAACCTGGCCTGCTGCCTGCTGCTGTAATGGAGTCCTGGCACACAGCCGCGGCCGTTCGTTCACATGCTGTCTGGGCTGCGAGCTCGCTTTGTGCCTCAGAGTCGAGTAGTTGCAGCAGAGATGCTGTGGCCCACAAGGCCTAAAATATTTACTCTCTGGCCCTTTATCGACTGAGCTTGCCAACTCCTGTCATAGGAAGAAAGGGGAAGAGTTAATGGACAAGGGAGGGCAGTGGGGTCGCTGGGCAGCACGGAGGGTCCTCATTGTCATTTGTTCAAAGAGAGGCCACTGGCTTGAGGGGTAATTGTTTAGACTAGGAGCTGAGTATTTGGAGGTCACTGAACTCTTCTCTTTACTTTTACATATTTTTGAGAGCCTCCATCACGAAGAGTTACAGCAAGGCCAGGCGGCATGGCTGTGTTTTCCTGCTGCGTTGAGCAGTTCAAGAACAGGCATGGAGGAAGCAGGGAGTTGGTTTTATCAGGGAATTCCAACAATGCCAGAGAAAGGTGGGGGACGAGGAAGTGTATGCAGGAGAGTAGTTGAATGATCAGTGATGGACGCTAAGCTGCTTAACAGAAGGCAGGACATCAGAGGGACGAGTGATCGTGGTCAGTGGTAGTGGGGCCAGTGGCTCACAGGCCTCAACGGGCTTGGCTTCCCTGGGAGCCGAGGTGCTAGAGATGGGACAGAGGGGCTTGGGCCAGAGGTTCTGGAAAGGATCTGGCGCTTGGTAACGTGAGGTCTGGGATGTAGCCATAGGTGTGGATGGTTGAGATGGGACAGGATCATTGGAGGATAGCGAGGGGGAATTTAGAGGCATGATACAGAAAGGATCATCTAAGTAGACACGTGAGTCACCACGGAGTATGACAGAAGTACAGCTGGGGAGACAGAGCGGGGCCAAGCCCCCACCTTCACCAGTCCGAGGAGCGTGGAGGAGCAGTGCCCCCACTTGGGCGGGCTCCGGGTTCCCGTTGAGGGAGAAGGTAGGCATTCCCGGAAGCCGGTGGTCACGTGGGGGTTTGCTGATGGCAGACCCCCTGGGAGCAGTGGGAGGGTTTCGGGAATGGGAGAGTGTTGGAAGAGTGTGCTCAGAGCTGTGGGGGTGACAGGAATCTGTGTTGTGGGCTTCTTGTGACGATGACAACTGACAAACAGGGACAGAAGGCATGGGGATGGGTTCCGGTGGCCAGCTACCCAGACGGGATGATGGTGAGGCCGAGTGCTGGGCAGAGGCTGGGCGAGGGGTGGTCTCACCAGGAGTGCATGAGACCCCTTGGCCCTTGTGTCTTCCTGGCTCCCACCTGCATTTCTCTGACCCTCCCACAGCAGAGCTCTTTGGCAGTTGTATTGCTGTAGCCACTTCCTTTCTTCTCTGCGACCCCCCCGCCAGGCGTTTGCCCGCATCGCTCCACTGAGGCAGCTGTTACCGAGCCCACCGGTGACCGCCGGGGCCGTGTCCAGAGGCCATGTCTCAGTCCTGACCCAGCCGGGCTCTCGGCAGTATGTGAAACACTCACCTAATTTCAGATGCTGTGAAAACACACCATTTCATGTGCTACCAGGAGAGAGAAAACTGGGACTTTGCAGCCTTCTCTGAAGGAAAGCCTGAGTCTTTACCGTGGTCTTCCAGGCCCCCACGGCATCTGGTCAGGTCGCCTCTCTGACCTTGCCTGCTGCCACTTCCCTTACTCCCACTGAGCCTGGGTCCCCGGGCCGGCACCTCCGTGCCTGTGCCCCCGCTCTCCCCTGCTCAGTGCGCTCCTTCTGGCCTGTGCTCAAGTGCCCCGCATCAGAGAGGCCTTCCTG